GATTTGATTTGATTATTGTTGTCATGTGTATCTAAATACAGTGAAAAGTTTTGTTTTGCGTGCAGTGCAGGCAGATCATACCATTCAAGGACATACAGACCACAAAGTGAACTGAATGAGGCATACAAAGTTACAGCTGTACAGGAGGTGTACAAAAGCAAGACCAACATTAGATTTGAAATTTGAGATATCCATTCAGCAGTCTAATAATAGTGGGGAAGAAGCTATTTTTGAACCTGTTGGTATGTGTGTTTAAGCTTTTGTATCTTCTGCCTGACAGGAGAGGTTGGAAGAGATTATAACATAGATGGGAGGGGTCATTGATGTTGGCTGCTGTTCCATGGCAACAAGAAGTATAGATGCAGTCAATGAACGGCAGGTTGGTTTGCATGCTGGGCTGTGTTCACAACTTTCTGTAGTTTCTCACAGTCCTGGGCACAGCAGTTGCCATACCAAGCCATGATGCAGCTGGGTAGAATGCTTTCTATGGTGCGTGTGTAAAAGTTGGCGAGAGTCCTTATGGACATGTCGAATTTCCTTAGCCTCTGAGGAAGAAGAGGCGTTGTTGTGCCTTCTTGACTGTTGCATCCACGTGGGAGGTCTAGGACAGATTGTTGGTGATGGGTCACTCTTAGGAACTTGATGCTCTTGACCCTCTCCACCTCAGCTCCATTGATGTAGGTAGGGACATGTCCTCCTCCTTTCTTCTTGAAGTCAATCATCAATTCTTTAGTTTTGCTGACATTGAGTGAGAGATTGTTATCTTTGCACTACAACACCAAGCATTTTATCTCCTTCCTGTATTCTGTTACATCATTGTTTGATATCCAGCCCACCACAGTGGTCAGCAAACTTGCAGATGGCGTTCGGATGAAATTTGGCCACACAGTCATGAGTGTACAGGAGGTAGCTGAGTACACATTCATGCGGGGTGCTGGTGTTGAGGATTGTTGTGGAGGAGGTGCTGTTGTCTATCTCCACTGATTGTGGTCTGTGGGTCAGGAAGCTGAAGATCAATTTGCAGAGGGCAGAGCCGAGACCTGGGTCTCGGAGTTTGGAGATTAGCTTGTTTGGGATTATAGTGTTGAAGGCAGAGCTGTAGTTGATAAGTAGAAGCCTGATGTAGGTATCCTTATTATCCAGATGTTCCAGGGATGAGTGCAGGGCTAGGGAAATGCCATGGACCTGTTACACCAGTAGGCAAGTTGCAAGGGATTGAGGCTAGCTTGAAGGCCAGAGTAGATGCGCGCCATGACTACTCTCTTAAAGAACTTCATAATTATGGAGGTCACAGCCACTGGGCACTAGTCGTTCAGGCACGTAGCATGTGTTTTCTTCAGTACTGGGATGATGGCGGTCTTCTTGAAGCAGGTGGGGACTTCAGATTGTAGCAAAGAGAGGTCAGTGTATACTCCTGCTAGCTGGTCTGCACAGGATCGGAGTGCACGGCCAGGAACTCCATCTGAGCCAGTCACTTTCCTTGGGTTCACTCTTAAGGAGGCTGATCTGATGAGTGCAGCGGTGACTGAGAGAACAGATGCGTCTGGGGCGTCAGGGCAGGTGATATCGTTCCATTGGCTTTCTGCCCGAACCGAGAATAGAAAGCATTCAGCGCATCAGGGACGGATGTGTTTTTGTCTGCTATCCTGTTCTGTGAAGTACGCATAGGTTCTCTAGTATCTAATGTTTTGTACTGGTTTCTTCCATCAAATTCTATGCACCACATCTCCAACTTGTGTTAGAGGATTTCTTTTTTGTTCACAATATGGCCGTAGGTCTGCTCTTTAGTCTTTTATTAAAAATTTAATCTCAATTATTGCAGTTTGGATTTTGTTATTTGTTTCCTCAGTGATTGAATTCAACAGGTCACATTGAAAACAAAGAACCATAGAAAATAGGAGCAGGCCATTCACTCAATCTGGAGTGTTCTGTTATCCATTGTGATCCTCCATCTCAACGTCATACTTCCTCTCCTCTCTATCCCCTTCAATACCTATCGTTCCTAGAAATCAATACCTTTCTTCCTTAAATATTTTCAGTGAAGACTCCCACAGTCTTCTGTGGTACAGAATTACACAGATTTATTACCCTCCCAAAGATGACATTTCTCCGCGTCTCAGTGTGAAATGGCCTACCATGCGTCCTGAGTCTGCGACACCTTGTTCTAGACACCCTTGCCAGGACAACAGTGATTCCTGTCAGGTCCTGCCAGAATTTTATATATTTCAATGAAACTCTTGCTCATTTTCCTAAAGCCCAGCAAATACAGACCGAGCTGCCCCAATCTCTCCTCATATCACAAACCTGCCGTCCCAGGTATCATTCTGGTAAACGTACATTTTCTTAGACAAGGAGAGCAAAACCACACACAATACCCCTGCTGTGGCCTCAAAAAAGCACTGCACAGCTGCAGTAAGATTTCCTTGCTCTTGTACCCAAAACCTTTTGCAATGAAGGCCAACATACTATTTGCTTTCCTAATTGCTTGCTGCACTGTATGGTGTTTGCTTTCAATAACTGGTGAACAAAGACACCCAGATTGTGATGCACATCAACATTTCTCAATTCTGTGATTCTGACTTCCCACCAAAGCGGACTACTTCACATTCTCCAAGTTATACTGTTTCCACCATGCATTTTCCCACTCAACTCAACTTTAACCAACTTTAGCCTCTTTATGGCCCTCACAATTGCTCGTAGTTGCATGCAATTAATTTTATGTCAGTATCTCCCTAGACCTCATGACATCATCAATGTGGGGTAGAGGAGCCACTTTATTGAAATCAACTCTTTGTTAATATTTAATACGGGCAGCGCAGTGGCTCAGTGGTTAGCACTGCTGCCTCACGGTGCCCAGGACCCAGGTTCGATTCTGCACTTGGGTGACCCGTCTGTGTGGTGTCTCCTCGTGTCTGCATGGGATTCCTCTGGGTGTTCTGGTTTCCTCCCACAGTCAAAGATGTGCAAGTTAATTGGATTGATGACGCTAAATTGTCCATAGCGTTCAGGGACATGCAGGTTAGATGGATGAGCCATGGGAACTGTAGGGCTACAGGGATAGGGCAGGGGTTGGGTCCGGGTAGGATGCTTTCCAGAGGGTCAATGTTGGCTCGAGGGCTGAATAGCCTGCTTCTACACTGTAGGGATTCTGTGACTCTTTCAGGCCCCTCCTGACCCACATACAACATGGAAAATATCACTTGAGAAGCTGAAGGGAGCAGATTCAATAGTAATTTTCAAAAGGGACTTTCAGATCTCCTGGATCTGAAGAAATTGCAGAGTGATGTGCAAAAGAGGGAGGGTCTATTTCTGAAGAAGGGTCTAGGCCTGAAACGTCAGCCTTCCTGCTCCTCTGATGCTGCTTGGCCTGCTGTGTTCATCCAGCTCTACACCTTGTTATCTGAGGGTCTATTGGGACAGCTTTTCAAAAGACATGTGATGTGCCAGATTGCCTTCTTCTATGCTGTAGACACTGTGGCTGGGATTTTCTCATTTTCAGACTAAGTCTGAAAGTGGAAGGCTTTCCTGAAGAGAGCTTGTATCTTATTGCGGTCAGAAAGCCTGCAGGAACTACCATAAATCAGCCAGCTGATTGGCTGCTTTCTTCCAGAATTACAGCCCTGGAGGAACTTCTGCTACTTGGAAGTCCTGACAATTTGGAGGTCAACAAACCTCAGCGGCAGGGACACCAACACCTGGACTCCCACATGGAGGAAGACTGGAGGTCAGGCAACAAGGAGGTTCCATCTGTCTGGAAGCGAGGACAAAGGTCACCTCTCAGAGACTAAACCCCTGTCGATGGTATAACCTCCCAGACTTGTACAGGTTAGTGCAGATCGAGGGAACTGCCTCCTCTCCCCTGAACTGACAGCCTTCCCACACCGGTTTAACCTGTCGGATAGGCCAACCACTTTCTTGTTCTGCCTGGAGCTGAAATGACTGCAGTGCAGATGAGAAGCGGGTCTTAAGTCATTGTTAATTAACTACTTGACGATTCCAATTGGCGGCCAGGTGGGAAAGTCAATCCTGAGCCTTCCTGCCCAGAATGGAATTCCTCTGCAGAGGAAATGGGCTGGATATGTAACTGTCCAATGATTTTCCCTTCCCACCGACTTCCTTTCCACCTGTGAGGAATGGATGACTGTGTCCAAGGATTCTATGTTGGACAATTTATAACTTGACCATGCACGATGGAGAGGCAATTTACAATGATTTCCAATTCCTTTGCTAAGTCACAAAAGTAGGGTTGTGGTTGCTTCTCCCCGTAATGCAGATTGATTTCTAACAAAAGCAATCTCAAAACATAATTCATCATTATTGCCTTGTGTTTACCAGCTAATTTAGCTGCAGGTGCACAGACAATAACTGGTCAATTAACTTCGTACATTTAGCAGACTTCGCAAGAGAGAAACAGATGTGGAAATGAGCAAATGTTTATATTGCAGCTGAATACAGCTCATATATATAAAACATATATATATATGTATATTATATATATATATATTCATAAAAAACATTACAACATGTACTGAATACCCCGTATTTAGTTGCTAATAACTAATCCATATGATGCAGTCATTAAACTTGTGCCCTTAAGTACAATGAACAAATTAATAAAATAAAATGTTAGCACTGTGTGGTAAAACTATGTTCTGTGAGTTTGTGCAAAGTAAACAATTTACTATTTATGTATAACAAGTGGATACTAGGTAACAATTACCTTCAATTCACTTCCAAATTAATTCTAACCTCAAATTTTAATCAGAAATATTACTCCTGCTCACAGAGGTGTGTCATAACGTGTCTGAACAGGTTGATTTTCCCAAAAATGAAATAAATTGATTTACAGATGGGTTTGACAGAATTGCATTACTTATGGGTCATCCAGGTTATTAAAGTTCTTACACTGTTTGAATCACAGCACAAACAACAGTTTCCTTTTTACACAGAATGGCTGAATATTTGTGAACTGACAAGATTTTGTTTTGCTATACACTCACATAGTCATGCAGATCATCATCCACAGAACGTGATGGACGTTTTCTGTTGGCTTCAGTGTCCGAGTGTGCAGTGAATGCATCTTCTTCAGCATTCTCTGGTTCTCCAAAATCATAAAATCCTGGGTCTAAAAAGATACAATGCTGAATTAGAACAAGTGCTCTACTCATTCATTGATGTTGATCCAAAATATTGATTTGGTCCCCCAAAACTATTTTCTAATATATACAAGATATACTTTTGTGTCCTCCAGGTGTTATATAGGTATGTGAATAGAAATTGACTCCACTGGTACATTGGCACCATTTATATGTGGAAATTAGAAAGTAGTGTCTTATACATTACTTTGCATCAATACGCTGCTTGTTTACGGCATCTTTGGCATTTGTTTTCATATATCCATGTTTTACTCAAAAACATTATGATAATCGTCAAAGAAGTACCTAACATTTTCATTTCAAAAGATTTTGTTTTGTTATTTTCTTACAGTAGATAAATGGGTATTGTTATCTGAATTGTTGACACACACTTATAGTCAACAAAGGCAGACAGTCCATTAGTACAATAGGGAGAGTGAGCATGGCGGAATAAGGGGACAGGAGATTGAAACGTCAGTTTCCTTTGTTCCCAAAAAAGGCATAACCAGAAGTGGCTTTTGTCTAGACCAGTAGCAATCTTTAAGCAGATGCCCATTAATTTGTAATCAATATAGCCTCAAAGCTAGCCTTTGGCACATCCATTATAGATTTATGAAAATAATTAGCGGTTTTCAATATCTTACGCTTTGTGTTAGGCATCAGTGGTTCTTGGTCATTATTCATTAAGTGCTTTGAGAAGAACATTTGTAGAGATGCATATCATCATGGCTTGTTGAAAAGGCTATCCAATTAGGTCTGTTTCCGATCCTTTTCCCTGTAGTCCTGTAATTTTTCCCGAGGAAATAGATACAAAATTCGCTTTTGAAAGGTGCTATTGAATCTTCCCCCATGAGCCTTTCAAGTGATGCATTCCAGATCCTCAATTGAGAAAACAGTCATCACCAAAGCCAGTACCTATCATCAATGAATAGAAGGCCTTCGAGAAACTGGAATAGGTTAAATACTGTAAAGTATAACCTATTCATGCTCTAGGTTACTAACACTCTTGAATGTATTCCCCACACCTTCAAAATGACATAATAATAGTTACTTGCAGTTACTTGAAATCCAACTAAAGCCATTACAGATAAACCACACATTTTAACTTAGGGATTACAGTAGGGGCTCAATTGCAGACAAGCATTTAAACTTTGATCCCCAGTTTTAGTGGAAGTGTGACTCATTTAAAAATGCAAGTATAAAAAAGGTGGGAAAACGATTGTCAGGTGAACATGTTGAATGCTTGTGGATTAATATTACCCACCATATTCTTCATGTTTACCTGACATAAAAAGGGAGAAGAACGGTTTGCTGTGAGTGAGCTCCAAACTAAAATCTAATTTACGGATTTAATAGGTAGAAACTTTCTGACATTTGCTCTTTTAAAGGAAATGTTATTTGTCTGACTACCTTGATTATCTTATTTCTTATTTACGGGTATCCTGTATTCACTGTATAAGATGCAATATAATCACATTGGACATGAAATGAAAGTTTTAAATCTACCTCAAGTTATTTTAGTCAATAATTTTTACTTTCTCATTATCATGATTACATAATTCACTGGGGAAAGAGGCAGCCATTCAATTTAAAATGTACAAGATATTGAAACAATGATATAAAAGTAATGATAGAAATTAATTATTGATGTAATCAGTCTGCAGATGCAATTTTGTCTCATAAGCATGGTATGATCGAACAAGGATACTTCAACATATCAATTTATTAATTACAAAATAGGCTTTTTAATGCAAACATGAAACCGCATGCCAAATCTTTGATAGCTTCACTTCTACTGTTTTTTACCTTTCAAATATGATGGACGAAGCCAATAAATTGGAAGATTTCCACACACTTCCAGAACTTTTGAATTCAGCAGAAAACGTTGGTCCTTAATTGGTTGTTCAGCCGCCACCCAAACAACAGCCTCGTCAAACTTCACTGGCATAATTTCATCTTGCTGTTAAAGTAAATGGTGTATGTTAATCTTTTTTTTGTCAACAGCAAAACAAAAGCAGGAATTCATTTTTTTTCCATTTGGTGGTTTCATCAAAAGTTGAATTGTAGAAAACCATGAATTTATTAGTAGTACAATAAGAGCAAATGACAAGACTAATTAAATTCAACTTCAGTTTGAACATATGGTGTAATATAATTGGTTTTTTCGCAAGTACTGATTAGCAGAATTTCATTAGGAAACTTTGTGCACTAGGCTATTTTTCGTCATTAGGCAATGCAAAAGAGGACTTAAAATGGCATACCTATTACGATGTACTTTTTTTGGAGCAGACTTTTAGGTACAGGCACCAATCAGAGAATTGACAGCAGCGATTGAGTGAATGACGTGAGTTATACTTCCGACTATATTGGCAAGATAGCTTCACGCAAGTGTGGATCTTGCAAAACACTTCTCCTTGGTAACTGACATTGTCTACTCAATGATGTGGAAAAATCATCAAGGTATGCCTTTCCATAAAAAAGCAGGAGACGGTTGATCTAATAGTTACCATCCTAACAGCCTACTCTCACTCATCAGTAAAGTTAATGAAGGTGGCACTAACAATACTATTAAACAGCACATATTCATAATCAACCTGTTCATTGATGTTCAGTTTGAATTCCACTAGGATCAAGGGAGAGGCGATGGCCTAGTGGTATTATTGCTGGACTGTTGATCCAGATAATTTCGCATGGTAGCTTAGTGGTTAGCACTGCTGCCTCACAGTGCCAGGAGCCCGGGTTCAATTGCATCCGTGGGCGACTGTGTGGAGTTTGCACATTCTAGCCATGTCTGCATGGGTTTCCTCTGGGTGCTCCAGTTTTCTCCTACAGTCCAAGGTTGTGCAGGCTAGGTGGATTGGCCATGCTAAATTGCTCACAGTGTTCAGGGATGTGTAGATAAGGGGGGATGAGTCTGGGTGGGATGCTCTGAGGGTTGGTGTGGACTTGTTGGGCCAAAGGGCCTGTTTCCACACTGTAGGGATTCTATGATTGATTGAATTTCCTGGGGACCCATTTTCAAATCCCACCATGGCAAACGGTGGAATCTGAATTCAATTAAAAAAAATCTGGAATTACAAATCTAATGATGACCATGAATCCATTGTTGATTGTCAGAAAAAACTCATCTGGTTTCACTAATGTCCTTTAGGGAAGGACTTCTGGAGGTTGCCTTCTGAGCAACTGGCATAGCCAGTGATGCCCTCATCCTGTGAATGTAGAAAGGACAAAAAAAAGGATCACTTGGCTCCAAACCTCATTCCAGCCTTGGTCCATATCTGGACAAAACAGCTGAATTTCAGAGGTGGGGTGAAAGTAACTGCCCGTGATCATGACAGTGGTAAGCCTGTGAAATTCTCCGCCACAGAAAACATTCAGACCAAAGCACTGAATGTTTTCAAATAGCAACTAGATAGAGTTCTTAGGACTAAATGAATCAAAGTGTATGGGGAGAAAGTAGGAACAAGGTGCTGAGTTAGATGACGAGGTAGAATCATATTGAATGGAGGAATAGGCTTGAAGGGTTAATGGCCTACTCCTGCTCCTATTTTCTATGTTTTAGCCGTTTTATTGCACCTTTCTGAATATAGAACATAGAACATAGAACATTACAGCGCAGTACAGGCCCTTCGGCCCTCGATGTTGCGCCGACCTGTGAAAACCAATCTGAAGCCCATCTAACCTAAACTATTCCATTATCATCCATATGTTTATCCAATGACCATTTAAATGCCCTTAAAGTGGGCGAGTCTACTATTTTTGCAGGCAGGGCATTCCACACCCTTACTACTCTCTGAGTAAAGAACCTACCTCTGACATCTGTCCTATATCTATCACCCCTCAATTTAAAGCTATGTCCCCTCGTGCTAGCCATCACCATCCGAGGAAAAAGGCTCCCACTGTCCACCCTATCTAATCCTCTGATGATCTTGTATGTCTCTATCAAGTCACCTCTTAACCTTCTTCTCTCTAACGAAAACAGCCTCAAAACCCTCAGCCTTTCCTCATAAGACCTTCCCTCCATACCAGGCAACATTCTGGTAAATCTCCTCTGCACCCTTTCCAATGCTTCCACATCCTTCCTATAATGCGGTGACCAGAACTGTACGCAATACTCCAAGTGCGGCCGCACCAGAGTTTTGTACAGCTGCAACATGACCTCATGGCTCCGAAACTCAATCCCTCTACCAATAAAACCTAACATACTGTACGCCTTCTTAACAATGCTATCAACCTGGGTGGCAACTTTCAGTGATCTATGCACATGGACACCGAGATCTTTCTGCTCATCCACACTACCAAGAATCTTACCATTAGCCCAGTACTCTGTATTCCTGTTACTCCTTCCAAAGTGAATCACCTCACACTTTTCCGCATTAAACTCCATTTGCCACCTCTCAGCCCAGCTCTGCAGCTTATCTATGTCCCTCTGTAACCTACAACATCCTTCCGCACTATCCACAACTCCACTGACTTTGGTGTCATCCGCAAATTTACTAACCCATCCTTCTACGCCCTCATCCAGGTCATTTATAAAAATGACAAACAGCAGTGGCCCCAAAACAGATCCTTGAGGTACACCACTAGTAACTGAACTCCAGGATGAACATTTCCCATCAACCACCACCCTCTGTCTTCTTACAGCTAGCCAATTTCTGATCCAAACCGCTAAATCACCCTCAATCCCATGCCTCCGTATTTTCTGCAATAGCCTACCATGGGGAACCTTATCAAACGCTTTACTGAAATCCAAATACACCACATCAACCGCTTTACCCTCATCCACCTGTTTGGTCACCTTCTCGAAGAACTCAATAAGGTTTGTGAGGCACGACCTACCCTTCACAAAACCGTGTTGACTATCCCTAATCAAATTATTCCTTTCTAGATGATTATAAATCCTATCTCTTATAATCCTTTCCAACACTTTACCCACAACCGAAGTAAGGCTCACTGGTCTATAATTCCCAGGGTTGTCTCTACTCCCCTTCTTGAACAAGGGGACGACATTTGCTAGTCTCCAGTCTTCTGGCACTATCAGCTCACAATCTTGACGTTACAGCATGTAGCTGTTTCTTAAACGTATTTTGGCCACAACAATTCTTTCTGGCAGTTTGTTGAGGTGGCTAATTACCCTCTAATGAATTACTTCTTGGCATCTGTTTGAAACATTCCTTCCACAATTCCAAACTTTTGTTGTCTTTTCTATCTGCATAAATGTATATGCAAGTGTTTTTCCCGGTTTAATATATTCCTATTTCTGTTCAGTTCCTTTTCAGACTGATGAGCCTGAATCACTGTTCTTAATTCAGTCCTGTAAGCCTAAGCATCAGTTTTATTTCTTTACGCAGCATCAATTGAATTGTAGGACATGGAGCTCCCCCAATCACATCGAGGTCTTTGTTCATTACGTCTGGGAGGGAGATTAATTTATTTGGAGATGTTTGTGTTGATTATTGCTCGTAACAAACTAAATTCCTAAACGTCAACTTTCCTGCTCCTCTGATGCTGCTTGGCCTGCTGTGTTCATCCAGCTCCACACCTTGTTATCTCAGATTCTCCAGCATCAGCAGTTCCTACTATCTCTAAATTCCTAAACATGCAAGATTCTGAGAATGCATATTAGATCCAGGTTAAATGGCTGGACAAAAACTGCTTAGCCCAACACCTTGAGTCACAGTTATCATGTTGGAAGCCAGTCAGCACACAGAAAGATTTCACAAGCAGTACTGAGGTAAAAACTAGATCATGTACTTTTAATTATGGTAACTGAATACCAAATATTGACCAGTACACTGGGGCTTACTCCCTTTCTCTCATTCAGGAGTAGCGTTGTGCGACCTTTTACATTCACCTGAAAGAATGTTTCATCTGAATGATAGCATGTCCAACAGTGCAGTAATCCCTCAGTAATAAGTCAATTTTGATTTTTCTGCTCGAGCCCTAGCATGGGGATACAGTGTCTAATGCAGATTACCCTGGAAGCAGAAGGTCTCAAAAAGTTGAACAAGAGGTGAAGTCCCTCGCTGCTAGTTTGTAGGAAACCCGTAAGTAGTTTTCTCCACTAACCAGATGCTGTCATCAGGCCATAAAGATGTTGTGTCTACCACACAAAAGAGGAATGTGATTTCTGACTTTCAGTGCTGGGCAAGGTAAGTAGGCTGTACATCTCAATGATAGACACACTGTTTTGAACATTCACAGTAGACAGGAGGCTGATTGTGCTCAACCAGCCAGTGTTTTCAAGCCATAGAATGCTATGTCTGAGATTAGATGTGATTCTGCTATTGTACAACATTTATTAAATAATCCATACTGTGCTGGGAACTATACTGGGGACCTATTTAAGATTGTCAGTCAGGCATAAAGTGTGATGCATATAATATCACACAGGACCCTGTTTTAAGTAAGGAAAAGGAATTTAAACTTGCATTGTACATTTTTCATTGCGGGATAAAAGGAGTCATGGACACTGCCTATCTCTGTTCAATTTTGACAGCAATAACATGACCAAAGTCTACCTGCCAGGTCTGACAACTAAGGTTGACTGTCCCTGCTGGATCTCCAAGGCCAATGATAGCCCAAACAGTTAACATTCTCTTCTCAGGCGGTATAAATCAACCTCTGCTTCTGAACTCCTAGTTCTGATGGGAACCAGATGATGAGCTTTGACTTGAAGTCATAGAGACGTACAGCATGGAAACAGACCCTTTGGTCCAACTTACCCATGCCGACCAGATATCCTAAATTAGTTTAGTTCCATTTGCCAGGATTTGGCTCATATCCCTCTAAACTCTTTCTATTCATATACCCATCCAGATGCCTTTTAAATGTTGCAATTGTACCTACCTCCACCATTTCCTCTGGCGGCACATTTCTTACACTCACCACCCTATGCATGAAAAGGTTACTCGTCAGGTCGACTTATATCTTTCCCCTCTTACCTTAAAGCTATGCCCT